ATTAAAATTGGTTTGGGATATTCTTAAAAACATTGGTTTTAACCCAACAAAATTAGGGATTAAAATGGGTTTTGACCCACTTAAAAACATAATTAAAAACATGTTTTTCAAAATTCATTCGAACTGAGCGTTCATTTTTTTTGTTTGCAGATAGACATTGGTTCAAGGTCGACGGTTATGTAAGTTGGGGTGGACAGAACTTTTCATTGAGTGATCTCAATTAAGTAGCTTTGATAAGTATTTTTTTTTAATCTTTCACAATCTTTCACCTATAGATTTAGTAGTTGATAGCTTCTTTAGTTTTGGATGAGAAATACATTCATCCTAGTTCATACCAGCTATTTTTGTTAATGTGGAGAGGACAACCAGATTGATGTAAGGGAGCACGATGACATTTTTTTATTGTTTGTTGAAATCTCAATATCACGAGACTAGTTTGGTATTGGCACAATTAAGATGGCACATGTCGCATATTTTTCTCCTACTTCATTTGATCTTGAGTATTGTAGCTTCTTTTAGTTTTGTGTCATATTATTTTGAAGTTGAATAGAATGGTCAACTTTAAAAACATTATTGTTTATGAACGAACTACAAGGACGAAGTCCTAAAAATCAAAATTCATAATATATGATTGAAGTTGGGGAAAATAATCAGAATGATCAACTTGGTCTTGGTACCATGGAAGACTCTCTTGTGTGGTAGAAAATCCAAGCATTCTGGGTAGCATTGTTGTTATTGCTATTGCAAATGGATACTCCTGTGATGCTTCATGCTTGCTTGTGCTTTTAAATTTTCAACTTTACAATTGAATGCATTTCAACCTTAGATAGACTAGATAAACTTTGATCATTCTTTTCTGGCTTGAATCTGAAATAATCTACTAGCACATATATATATTTTTATTTTTTTTCTAGTTCAAGATACTTAATTAGCTTGAAATATATCAACTGATAATTCATGGGGAGATGACATCCTTCATTGCCATATTGGTAAATTTCATGAGTCACAAAGCTCAGGAACATGCCCATCTTGTGGATAGGTATGAATCACCTCCTTCTATATTAATTTGAACATGCATATAATTTTGATAATAAGAGACGACGTAGTTGTGTGGCTATCCTACAGTTATGGTTGCCAGTTAATATTTAATACTTGATGTATGAAGTAATTATCTGGCCATCCTACAATTATAGTAACCAATTTGAGGGTAGTTTTGATTCGATAAGATTGTAGCTAAAAGTTATGAGGGAAGTTTTAGAATTATGCATGAGTTTGTGTCTTATGATATAGGCATCATTGAGTTATTGACTAATGGTGTAGAATTTGCATCATGATTGTTTATGATATAGGCATCATTGAGTTATTGACTAATGGTGTAGAATTTGCATCATGATTGTTTTTACCTTGATCGTTGGTTAGGTTATTTATGATCTTTGTTTTATGTTGAGACTTCGAATTATGCTCATGTTGTTAAGTAATTTTAGGGGAGTGAGTTATGTTTATAGTTGTTATTTTGATATATGAGTTAGATCTTGCATTATAGTTGTTTTTATGCTTAATTCAAACTTTGACTTTCCATTGTTAGCTTGGGGGTGGGTTAGGTTCGATGGGATTGTGCTTGACCTTGTGTTTTGATATATGATCTCTGCTCTTTGTAATGTAAGGTTGCTGCATCTTGATTTTAGGTGTCTTTTGATTTTTAAAAAAATATGCTTCATTTTTCAAGTTCTTTTGATTTGGCTACTCTGAAACTCTTTTAAGTACAGTAGATTTCCTAAAGCAAATGACATGAAGCTTTTAGCTAGGTTTATTTTGTAACTTTTGTAAAATATTGTACGGATATTATTTTGTTTAATATAAATATCGTATTACATGTATACAAGTGTTGGATATGTTGATGAATGTAGTTTGACGAGAGATGGGTGGTCCTATATATATTATGTTTGAATATGTGTTATATGTCATCTCGTATTTGAGGCATGGTTTTAGGATATTTTAGCAGAGGTCATGTTGAAAATTTGACATTTTTTGTTTCACTTTTGTTTGAAGAGAATTTAATCTTTATTGCCTGTTGAGTTATGTAAATGAAGGTTGTTGTTTATAAGTAGACATGTGTCGAGTAAATTTTTGCATTTTTTTTTAACTATTGTGATTTGTGCATATGTTGAGAAAGGCGGAAATTTTTTTATTTATAAATAAGGTTCTATACTATTATGTTTAAATATATGTTATATGTTATCATATCTCAGTGTGGTTTATAATATTGTAATAGAGGTCATGCTGAAATTCTGGCATTTTTTTTTTTTGTTTGAGTTAGATTTCATGAATGAGTATTAAATCCTTATTTTTTATTGTCTTTATGTATAAAGAAGAAGGTTGTTGTTTACGAGTATGCATGTTTAAAAAATATTATTGAGATTTATGCATGGGTTGAGAAATGGGGAAAGATTGTTTGGTTAGCCTGGAGCAACCAACAATTTTTTTTTATTAAATTATTACCCAAACAATGACGGGTACTACCTGACATTGAAAATGAAAATTCAATGATGGACATTTAATGACAGATATTTGATGCTTGACATTGTAGGCTACAATAACACTCAAATTGATGTTGGGCCATAACCGACATCATAAGTGACCGTCATTGTAGGAAACAATGGCGGTCACGTACAATGACGAGTCTAGCCCGTCGTTGATATTCGTCCGACATCAAAAGTTACAATAACACTGGACTCGTTCTCCTTCAATGACGGGCAATGACCGTCATTAAATCCCAATTTTGTACTAGTGTGTTCTCTTCGATGAACTTGTCTTCCCCTACCAAAATTCATCTCAATAGACCATGACTCCGTCCTTTCCTCTCACGTCTTCAATTCCCTACCTATTATTTCCAGTTCACCTCCTACAGAACCTTCTATCTCCATACCTTGCCGACGCCTCCTCACCAAATCTACCTTGTATTGATAATCCTTCACCACATCTTTCTGATCCTCCTGTTCCCTCTCGTTATGCTCCACTGCAATCTACTACTTCTTTGAATACTCATTCAATGGTCACGAGGTCCAAAAATGGCATATAGAAACCAAAAACCTTCCTATCTACTTTTATTGAATCTGAACCTTATACAATTAAGGACACCCTGAATTGTGCACATTGGTGGTAGGCTATGCCACAAGAGTATGATGCTCTCATGGCTAATCTACCTGGATTTGGTTCCCTTGCCACATAATCAGAAAGTAATGGGATGTAAATGGATATTCAAAATTAAAAGGAACTCCGATGGATCTATCTCTTGATACAAGGCCCTCTTGGTAGCAAAAAACTTCCATCAAGTTGCTGACATTGATTACTCTGAAACTTTCATCCCTGTTATTAAACCAGTAACCATCCATGTGTTATTGATTACTCTGAAACTTTCATCCCTGTTATTAAACCAGTAACCATCCATGTGTTGCTAACTCTTGCATTAGCCAATAATTGGGTGATTCGACAATTGGACGTTAATAATGCATTCCTCTATGGGCTTCTAACTGAAAAGGTGTTCATGGATCAACCTACTAGATTTTGTATTTCGACATCCGCTACATTAGTACCATTAGTTTGTAAATTGAAGAAAGCATTATATGGTCTCAAACAAGCCCCTCGGGCTTGGTTTGATCGCTTGAAGGCTTTTCTCTTCTCTGTCAGATTTGTGAATTCCAGAGCTGATACATCACTATTTATGCGATCTACTCTAGTTGGTTGTTGTTATGTTTTGATTTATGTCGATGATATTATCATAACGGGTTCTTTTGTTGCAGCTATTTCTTCCCTCATTTCCTCACTCAATGCTACATTTGCTTTAAGGACCTTGGACCTCTTAGCTACTTCCTTGGTATTGAGGTTTCTTATACAGAGAATGGGGGAATGTTCTTTTCTCAATCTAAGTACATCTTTGATGTCCTTCTTTGGTCCAACATGAATACTGCTAACTCCATTGCCACCCCGATGGTCAGTGGTATAGTTTTGTCTTGTAGAGCGATTTTCTGATCTTCGTTATATCGCAGCATTGTTGGTTTTCTACAGTATGTGACAGTGACACGTCTAGCGATCTCATATGTTATTAATAGAGCATGTCAGTTCATGCACACTCTATCTCTTCTCCATTAGCAGGCAGTTAAACGAATTCTTCGTTACTTGAAAGGTACTTTGCACCATGGTTTGTTCTTATCCGACTGTCCCAACTGACTATCCATGGATTTGCTGATGCCGATTGTGCCTCTGACCCAGATGATAGGAAATCAACCTTCGGTTATTGTCTTTATTTTGGTGGTAATCTTGCCACTTGGAGCTCTAAAAAGCGGCAGATTATCTCTCGCTCTAGCACAGAGGTAGAGTTTCGCTGCCTTGCAAATGCTGTTGTGGAGCTTATTTGGTTGTAGTCCTTGTTAAAAGAATTTTCTATTAATATGTGCAAACCCCCGGTGCTTTGGTGCGACAATCTGGGCGCAGTTCATCTCTTTGCCAATCCCATTCTTCACTCACGCACGAAACATGTGGAACTCGACTCTATTTCATACATGACCTTGTTCTTCAAAAGAAGTTTGATGTCTTTCATCTCTCCTCTACTAAATAGATAGCTGATATATTTACAAAGCCTCGATCTGCAAAATCTTTTCTGCCTCTTTGTTCCAAGCTCAATGTTTGTGATCCTACAACACTTCGCTTGAGGGGTATTAAGGCAGCTCATTAAAGGTGATTCGTAGCTGAACCAATTGCATGTAATTTGTTGCAGATTAGTTAGTTGTTTGTAACTTAAATATATTTGATTCTAGTTGTTTGTAACTTAAATAGTTTTGATTCTCCACAATTTCTGGAGTATATATTAGTTTCTTGTAACTAATTTCACAGATTCACCGACATCTTCTACCCTACTATATATTGAGAGTTTGTGAACCTTTGATTATTGAATGAGAATAAAGAATAATTCTATCACTCTTGTTACTGTACTCATCTCATTATTGTTTTATTTCGCTCCGACTCAATTTGGAGCACCATAAGGGATAAAAAGGACCATCTATACCCGCTGACTTGACGTCATACCGAGTTGAGGAAAATAACCTATCTCCGTTGACCTGAGGCATTCGACCTTGGGGGTCTGACAATCGTAACCACCACCAATCGGAACCCTTGTCTCCTCTGCCTCCCTATAAAAGAGACACTACAACCCACATATCAGGTACGTAACTTCTTGACCGAGAACGATTTACTACATAAGGAACAAACACTCTAACTTTGACGTCAGAGTGTTTGTTCCTTATGCAGGTCCCACTGGCTCACTCCAGTTAGTTCGCGACCACGGATGTTTAAATCTAGTCACCCACCTAAATTATCTTTAAATTTTAGACTGATTAACTTCTCAGATCTACTCAACGCTGCTCTTCAACTCTACCTGCGGCTTTAACGCCCATAACAAAAATAAACATTGGTAAAATGTTGGTTTTAAAATAACGCTCCACATAGAATTTCCATTATTAATGACCAATCATCTCTATATTATCAAGTGCCTAACCACGTAAATCTGCCCATGTTGAAAATAGAATTTACACAACCAATATTCTGAAATTATTTCTACGTTTGATTTAGTCCAAAGCAAGAAATGTTGAAGTGATTCAGCTTCATTTGGTAGTGGATTCCATTAAATTACATTATCCTAACTTTAGGCATAATAAATATGTATAATGAGGAGAAGATCGTAAATAAATAAATAGACTGCCTCCATTGTTATGAGATTTTTTTTTGGATAATAGGTTTTGGGGAAATTGGAATGAATAGGTACTTTAAAAAGAAAATATTGATTTCTAGTCACTCTTTAAAAAACTATATTTTCTAGGCATTTTTTCCTTCCAAATTACTTTCATACCCCTCTCCTCTCTCTTACTCCTTCCCTCTTCCTTTCCCTCCTCTCTCCTACTTTTCACTTTTCTCTCTCCTTCATTATTATTATTTCTATTTCCCAAAAACTTTCTTCTCTTCTACCCACGCCCCCTTCTCTCTCTCCTCTTTCTCTTTCTTCTTCTATCAGTACCATTGTCGGATTCCAGTGCGAACAAGCCGACCAAGAGTGAGAGAGTGAGATCGAGAGCGAGAGAGCGAGAGGTTTTTCTTTGTCTTGTTTTAATTTTGAGGTCCAATAATGGAGTCACAAAGAGGAAGTTGAAGAAATTAAAAAATCAAGAGGGAGAAGGGGAGAGGAAGAATAGCAGAAATTAGGGTAAAAAATAAATGGAAGAGAGAAGAGAAATAAGGATAAAAAATCATAAAAGAGAGGGAGGGGAGAAGATGAAAAAAGGGGAGAGAAAAGAAAATTTTCGGGGAATGAGGTAGATTGAGGAGGGAGGAGCAAGAGAGAGGAGGGGAACGAGGAGAGAGGGAGTAAGAGAGAGGAGAGGGTTAGAAAAGTAATTTAGTATTCATTGAAAACCCATGTTTTCTGAAGGGGATTAGAAATCAATACTCTATTTTTAAAATGTCTACTCATCTAAATTTCTCATAGTTTTGTTGAAAATTAACAAATATTATATTATTGTGGAGATATATCGATTAGTCCGACGGTTTTATCTCTAAAATACAACTTTTATAAGAAGAAGAAACAAATGAAAAGGAAAACTCTTGAGAAAGGAGAAGGACGAAGTCCGGGCGGCTCCTTGACTTTGAATTGAACATTTCAACTAAAAGCACACAGCAAACACAATAACTCTGACTTTGAAATTTCAACTTTCCACAACAAAACGCGTAACCACAACACAATAAATAGATGGTGCTGCCATTTCCATTGCCAAACTCCATTTTCATTACCACACAACGCTGAACATTATTCAGACAGCTTTCAAGATGATGCCCAACAACTTTGTACCCTCAATCTTTGCCTCTCTTCTCTTCTTCTCCTTGGTAAGTTTCTTTTCTTTATCCTTTAACTATATAGCTTTCCAATTTGTGCCCACATTGTTAATTTTTAACTTTTGGAATTCGACCTGAATTTCAGATCATCGGAACCACTTTGGCGGCTCGCAATCTGAATGAGAATGTGTTGGAATGGGTGAAGAGAGACCATCGCCGTTTTCTCCGCGCTGTAATTCACGTCTCCGATCTTGACGACTCTGTTAGGTATGTGTCAAACATCACATTGTGAAAAGATAAAAAACCTAACAAAAGGTCCACAATAATATACATAACTCCTGTTGTTTTGCAATTTTGTGTCTAAATCAGAATGGGTTGCCTCGAAATTTTAAAATGCATGCAGATTTTACACGCAAGGCTTTGGAATGAAAGTTGTGAAGAGAAGAAACTTTCCAGATCGACAGTACAGAGACGCCCTCGTTGGGTTTGGCCCCGAAAACACACACTTTTTGCTAGAACTAAGACAACGTGAGCAAACCCACAAGCATCTTACACTGTTGAATCTCGACTTTCCAAAGCTCATTCTTGTATTGTGTTTCCAAATTTCAGGACATGATTCGAACAACGTGTTCATTGGGACAGAGTTTGGGCACTTCGGAATTGCCACTCAAGATGTGGGTATTTTAGTTCAGTCAGAGTCGGGCAATTTCTCGTACAGTTTGTGTGCATGAAAAAAGTACTGTCTAGTTTATTCAATGGATTGCAAATTGGAACTTGCAGGTCTACAAATCCTTGGAGAAAGCTCGAGTAAATGGCGCAGTGGTGATCCATGAACCCCAAAAAGTTAACAATACCATTTTTGCATTGGTGCAAGATCGCGATGGTTATAAGTTTAAGCTCATTCAAAGGCCCCCAACAGCTGATCCTCTATGTGAAGTTATGCTTCGTGTAGAAGATTTGAATCGCTCCGTTAACTTCTATGCAAAGGTTCGTTACATGCACATTTAATATCCATAAATACTACAATCAATTATGTTTTTGTCTGCCTACTCTTAAAAAGTACTAATTTGATGCTTATTTGTAGAATTTGAATACAAAATTTACGCACTAACAGTAACTTTTAATACAAATGGATGTCATGCTAAACAGTCACTTTTCTAAACTAAAAATAATAAAATGTACCTAGTATAATAATTAAAATGAATAAAGATCAAAATATACCTTACAAATGAATTAACGGTAACACATTTAAATTTAAATTACAAAGTACATATACATGTTTTTTTTTTTTTTTGTAAAGAAGTTGTTTTATTTTGACTTATTTTACCCTCAAATTTCAGTGAAAGTGTGAAGAAAATTATCAAATTTTCAAATCAACAAGTAATTGTTTTTTGTTGCTACAACTAAATGCAGGCATTGGGGATGAAGCTCTTTAAGAGGCAAAACAATTCGAAGGGACAGGTAAAATAGTTTTTTTGTTTTTATTTTTTTACTTTTTTACTTTTTTAATGATCAACAACAATTAATTAACCATGTCATTTCCAATTAATAAAAGTTTAGATTATCGAGATTTCAATGCTAAGTTGCTAAAACTTATTAGAATTTAGATTTTTTTCTTATTATGATTTTTTAAATTATTGTTGTTATTATTTTCTTGGGCAGTTTGCTTCAGGTACTTTGGGTTATGGAACAGACCAAAGTAAAACAACAGTGTTACAATTTGAAAAAAGAAACAATATCTCTCGCGATGATGGACGAGATGGCTACTCAATGGTAAGCCCCAAATTAAACTATATATAAATTGAAATAAAAGAAAATAGAGAGAAAAGTTCCTTAATTAGTCAATTTTTGTGTGAATAACTAGAGTTTAAGAATAAAAGTAAAAATTTGAAAAGCAAGGATATTAATATCTTTATTTTAATTTTCAGCTCTATATTAGTACGGATAATGTAAACAAGAGTGCTGAAGCAGCAAAAGTGGTAATTAAACAGCTCGGCGGTAACCTAATCATCGAACCAGGTTTATTACCCTCTATCAATGTCAAAATAACTGGTTTCAGTGACCCAGACAACTGGATAATGGTAACTACATCTACTTTACTTTCTAAATTTGTGTTTTTTTTTGCTTAAGATAGTATCAGAGTTCGGAAGTATTGTGTTCAAAGTCCTGCATTGTTGTCTTCTCTCCGTTTATTATGATTTTCACTTGTTGGATCTGAGTGAATTAAATTTACGTAATCCATCCGCTTAAGTTTTTTTTGGTTGAGTGGTGGTTTATTCATCCTTAACACTATTTGATTTCAATTCAGCTTTTATACCCCCTAATGTGCACATATTTGATTCAATTTTCTAAAATTCTTATACCGTTATTTTTTTTTTCCAGATTATGGTGGACAACAAGGATTATCGAAGAGGAACACTTTAGAGGGAAAAATAAAAGATGAAAATTCCCAAATTTCTGAAAGATTGAGAGTCTCTGCTTGAATTGGGCATGTCTTTATTATAATAACCTACTACGTTATTATTTTTATGTTATAGTTATTGAATTTTTTTTTAAATAGTTGTTGATCTTCTGTTTAAGTGAATGCAATAAAGTTGAATGAAACCATTTTTTTTTAATCAATTTCTTTTGTCTAGAAGGGTAATTTCTACCTATTTAGTCCGTCTCATTTTATTTATTATTATTTTTATCTCATGCTATTTCTCTTTTACATTGTAATAATTTGTTTTAGATGACGGTGAAATATTGTCAAAAACACATATTTTGAGGTATCTTTTCCATCATTGTGGTGACTATCAAAGAAATAGATTAAAATGGCATTACAACAAAAAGTCGTCATTAATAAATTAACTATGATGGTTAAAAGCCATTAAAAAATAGAAAAAAAATCAATAAAAATTTAATAAAGATAGTTTATTAAACGTCACGAAAAACCTTTATAATTAGTTTGTCTGTGAAGAAAAATTTGATAATGTTAGTGTGTTACTATTTAACAATATGTTAACTATGACAATTTTTTTTTTTTCACTCTGAGTCAGAGAATGTCATTCACGCCCTCTTTTATTGTAGTCGATCAAGGAAAATTTGTGGCCCTAATATACTTCATGTTGGTCACTCTTCGTTTGCTGACCTATGACATAAGCTTTTTGGTCCTCGAAGTTGTGTGGACAAGGATCTCGCTGCTGTTTTGTCCTGGGCAGTTTCGAACGATCGGAATCAGATTGTTCACGGGAAACAAATTCCAATTTTATCATAAAAGTGTGCTTGGATTACCTCTTATGCTGAGAAGGCTCGTTCGGCTATAATTTCTTCCAACCCAATTTCGTTGCCTCGTTGTGGGTCGCATCGAAGGGTCGAAAATCTTTGGATTCCCCCCCTCTGCCGACTCGATTCTCCTCAACGTAGACATGGCCTGCGGTGGGCAACAATCAGGAACAAGTCTGGGGGCGATAATTAGGGATCCGTAGGGAAACATTTTGCCTGTCCAATCCCTTTTCATTATCGTCTCCGTCAACCCTCTTCTCGCTGAAATTCTTGCAATTCTTGAGGGCCTTCGATTTGTTCACTCTCTCAGTCACCACAAAATTCGTGTTCACTCCGCTTATCAAAAATCAATCTCCTTCCCTAGGTCTGGAAGGTGTTTGGCTCCATGATATCAATCTATTGGCCAATATTCACCATGGTTTCGATGCCGTTCATGTCCCAGGGGAGTTCAACCGCCCGGTCGATTGGTTAGCAAAGCAGAGTGTTGGTACCAAGGTTTCTTGTTCTTGGCTTGGAAATTTTCCCCCACGATCCATTTCCTTACCCATCAGGAAATGCTATCTTTCGTAGCTCATGTGACCAGTTCTCTTTAATGAAGTTCCTTTTGTTGGATAAATATATGCTGTATATATGAACTGTGTAATACTGACAAACAGATTACAACGTAACTGGCTACAAACGATATAAATTTGAACAACTTGATGAACACCAAAACTTGATAAAAAATAGTCGAGGCACGCTTCAATAGCGCTGACCTGAAGACAATTATTCGCTCTGCACAAGTTGCTAGCAGACTACAACGATCGTCTCAGCAGGATACAACGACTAACTCCGATAGAACTGCAACCTCAAACTACTCGGATCTGGCATAACTCTTAGATACTTGCTCTCAACAAAAACAAGAAGAACAACTCAAAAGAAGAGAGAATTCTTGTGGTATGCTTGGATGTCTCAAAATGAACAAAATCACAACTATATATAGTTCTCCATAACAAGTAACATCTCACAAGCATCTTTAACACATATAAAGTTACAATTGTAACTTTAACAAAATAAAGAAAAAACTTCTTATTTGAAGTATA